TTTTGTTGAGCACCTCAAAATAAACCCAAAGTATAGATACGCCTAGTAAAGAAGTGAAAGCACAAGCCTCAGGCCTAGCAGCACACAGTAAAGGGAGTGAACGCAAAGTAAGAGAGAAATGTCGGCACCCAAGTGCATTAACACACATAAATAGTACATGATATGGTGTGACAATTTTAGGGAAATGGCCGACAAAGGTGCAGAAGCCCCCACAGACAGTGCGGACCCTGCAGATGTTGCCGAAGAAAATCACACAACGCTGACTGTTTCACCTGCATCGGCGAACAAAGGTCCCACAGATGCATCCACTTCTACTACGGTCCAGGTGGGTGGTGATGTGGCGGAGGCGGAGCGCTGCTGCTGGATCTGCTTTGCCACCGACGAAGACAACCGGCTGGCGGCGTGGGTGAAACCCTGCCAATGCCGTGGCACCACAAAGTGGGTGCACCAGAGCTGCCTCTACCGCTGGATTGACGAGAAGACCCAAAAGGGCAACGCCCTGCGCTCTGTGTCCTGTCCACAGTGCCAGACGGAGTACATAATTGTGTTCCCCCAGATGGGCAAATTTGGGGGTGCCCTAGAGGCGATGGACAATCTCATCAAGCGCCTTAGTCCTTTCCTGGCGGCTGGATTCTTTGTTGGCTCTTTATACTGGACAGCTGTCACGTACGGAGCGGTTACATTCTTACAGGTACTTATAACGATCTTAATTACCAATTAGTTGCCTTGTTAAGCGAATTTACCATTCACAGATTGTGGGTCATGAGCACGGCATGTCTATAATGGAGGCTGGCGACCCCCTCGTTCTACTCATCGGACTGCCGGCAATTCCGGTGGGACTGGTGCTTGGTCGCTTGATTCGATGGGAGGATGCCCTGTTGCGCCTTATTCGAAACCGCGGGACGGTTGTGCGGAAGTTTCCTTTCATGAGCCTAATTTACCCGAACCTGTAAGTTCACACACAACATTACACCAGCAGCCTTTTAATTTTCTGTCTTAAGCAGCAATCAGGAAGAAGACCAGCAAAGCACCAGCAATCCGGCTACACCCGCTCTCTCGGACCCCGTGTCGGCTACGCGAGTTTTCTGTGGCGCCCTTCTGCTTCCCACTATATCGTCGATCGTAGGACGAATTCTCTTTGACTCGGTGGACAACACGTTGCATCGCACTCTCCTCGGAGGACTCACCTTTATAACGGTTAAGGGAATCCTGAAAATTTATCTGAAGCAAAAACAATACGGCCGCCGTAAGAAGCGTCGAATCGTCGACTACACTGAGGAAAACATTCGGAATTTCATGCATCGCAACAATAACAATGCCGCAAGTGCGGCGCGACAGGATCAGCAGCCCCAGCAACGACCAGTGCCTCCTGCTCAGCGTATGGACGCAGTAATCACTCGCCAACGCGGCGATAGTGGCGGGAGCGTTGTCTAGGAGGAATTGTTATTAATTCAGATTTATAGGGCGAACTTTTTCCTACGAGTTATCGTTTGTTTTAATTTAATTGTTTTACCACTTGCAAGGACGCACCACAAGCCCTTTAACTTAGGTGGATAAAATTCTGGCATTGCCTGCAGGGAGGAAAGCTAAATTTATTGTTAAAGTACACTATGTGTAATGGCCGGAAACTAAATGTATATTCAAACCAGACGCCAATTAGCCTTGGCAATTATTTTATTAATAATAAAGGAAAATCCGCCATGTCCATAAATTTAATATCGATATAGTCTATAATGGATTTATATATGTATTTATATGTTTCCACACACTTTAATTTATACGTTACCCCTTTGTATATTATAAAGTTGCCTCTGTAAATAAAAGTAAAGCCCTCGGCTGTGGGTGAAATATAACCGTAAACTATATTGAACAGTAAAGTTAGTTTTCAAAATTTTGCGTATTTGGGCAAGATGTTTGCCACCACAATTTTTGTAGTGTATGGGACTTCACATATGCTTGTGGCTAGGAGTAAGATTGGACAAAAAGCCATACGAGCCTTTTGCGTCTGGTTCAATTGCTTAGTGTTAGCCCAAATGGTGGGGAACAAGAAAGTATTTTTAAGCCTGGTGAGTCTACGCGATTTAAGATAATGAACCCACAAAATAAAGTTTTGTTTTCCTAGGAGTATCTTTCCTTGCATCAGTATACTGCAATACCGTTCATGGCCATTTTGGCGGTGAATCATAGCCTTAAGATTCGTCATTAGTGCTTATTCATCCAGTGATTTTTATACCCGTTGCTCGCACAGTAAAAGGGTATGTTGTGTGGGGGAATAGTTTGTAACAGGTAGAAGGATGCGCCGACCCCATAAAGTATATATATTCTTGATCAGCATCACTAGCCATGTCCGTCTGTCCGTGTGAACGATGTGATCTCGGAAACTCTAAAAGCTAAAGAGTTAAGATTTCAGATTTAGATTCCCTATCTTCGTACGCAGCGCAAGTTTGTTACGCGAATATGCCACACCCACAAGCCGCAAAACTGTGGCTCCTACAGTTTAAGTGTTAGAAAAACTGGTAAGTGTAAAATGTATTGTTCTCGTCAATACCTATGGATTGGCCTAAAAAATGTTGACACACACACTCTTACGTTCACAAACTGAAAAATCGTCCATTTGAAACTGGCAAAGGTAGAGATTTGGGATTTCAAATCTATATTCCTTAACTTGACACGCAGCGCAAGTTTGTTACGCTAATGTGGGACGCCCACGAACCGCCCAAAACTGTAACACCAAAGATGATATAAACTATTTTATAGTCTTTGGTAGCAACCACAGTTTTAATGCTAAAGTAAAAAATTGAATTGAAATGTATTATTCTCGTCAATACCTATCGATTGATTGAGCTCCAGAAGTGGTTCTGATGGGGGTCACTATCGGAGAGCGCCAGCTGCACGCGATTTCAATAAAAGGTAATGTTGACGGCAAAAAGATTTAAGCGTTATGGGCGTTTGAGGACGTCAAAGTGGGCACTTTTTTATATAAATTGAATAAAATTGAGTCAATACTATTGACGAAACCAGTTAACATTTTTTCTAACGCCGCAGTCTTGGGCGGTTTGTGGCGTCGAAGTGGGTGTGGCATGTTAGCGTTACAAACTTGCGCTGCGTACAACGATAAGAAATTTAAATCTGAAATCTCAACTCACTAGCTCTTATAGTTTCCGAGGTCTCAGAGTCTGCTCAGAACAGACGGACACGGCTAGATCGACTCGGCTAGTGATCCTGAATATTTTTACTTTATAGGGTCGGAATCGCTTCCTTCTACCTGCAACATACTTACCTTATAGTCCACTAGTAACGGGTATAAAAAGTGACAAAAATGAACTTGGTAAAATGCCCTTTGACTAAAGACGTACAAATCTTATACAACGAGGGTTTTTCAGAGTTGAAGTTAAAGGTTCAAAGTAGAATTTTAGCTATACACTGGTTCTGTGCTATTAATGGATATTTATGGATTATGCCTAAAAATACAACATTTTATACCTTGACCACGATTTTCTTAAAACTGTGACGTTATTGAAGAAAAAAACCGTTCTCAACGTTGATTTTACTTACGTTGTAGGTGGGAAAGGTCTTTATTAAGTTAAACTCGCGGAGCAGGACCAATTTTTTCTTTACTTGTATGCCTCTCAGCAACTTAAGTTAAGAAGTTAATTTGCAGCGCCGCAGCTCACTTCGTTAACTTCCCGATAGTATAAAGAGTGGAGTTCGGCCTGTCACTTTCATTTTTTCTCCGTCTTCCCCTCACGTCCCTCTTCCACGACATAAAAGCCGAGATTACTTTTGACTCGGAATACTAAAATCGACATCGTTTTCGTCTCGATATCGAGAAGAAAAAGTGAGAAGACAAAATTCTCAATCAAAGAAAAACCGTTCCCGGTTTGTTTCGTTCTTAATTTTTCTGGGTGTCTTAGGGTAAAATCCTTTCAGATTTTGTAGCGTTTAATCTTGGTCTTTTTGACGTCCCGTGTTATTGAACACTTATGTTTGATTATAAGTTGTTGATAACCTACGTTCTTTTCACCTTACTGAAAACATTAAACCGTTCCAGCACCTCCTTTACGCGTGTCGATTTCTGCGCACTTCATTTCATTCACTTCTGCACATTTTACAAGAGTCGGAGTATATGAACTTCGAAAGCTCTTCGAAAATGTTCATAGAGAATGTTTTTTTTATTTTTGATCTCCCCAATTTGTTTATAATCAACAAGAAGATATCAAGATTGCTGCTTTCCAATAAATGAGATCGAGAATAAGGTGTTCTAAATAAATAAGTCAAAAACACTTTAACCTTGATTTCATGAACACTTGTACTTGAAAAAGTGATTCTCAGTGTATATAATTTTGATTTTTTAAGTCAAACGACTATTCATATTACCTTTCGAGATTGATAGCTACCAACCCTGCAAGCATTTTCTATCGCGGAAGGCACTATTAAGCTACTTCTAGAAGATAAAAACGATCGTCCGCGATATCGCATTCGGATCGCGGAAGTGACCCATTTCGGGTAGAAATGTGCCACTTCGGCGGCACTTCTCGAAGTCACTTCTGCGTTACTTTTGGAAGTGTCGCCGAAGTCACTCCTGGAAGTGTCGCCGAAGTGACTCCGAGAAGGGCCGCCGAAGTGGTACATTTCTTCCCGACGGGAGTCTCTTCCGCGATCCGAATGCGATATCGCCGAAGTAACTTCTGGAAGTGTCGCCGAAGTCACTCCTAGAAGTGTCGCCGAAGTGGCACATTTCTTTCCGACGGGAGTCACTTCCGCGATCCGAATGCGATATCGCCGAAGTAACTTCTGGAAGTGTCGCAGTCACATATGGAAGTCACTCAAAAGTGACTTTACATATGTATGTTTGTAGAAGATACCTAGAAGAGTCTTTCCCAATTGGAAAATCTTGAATGAAAACGTATTTTATTATACTTTCAATATTTTGCATTTATTTTTTTTATAAAGGCATTGTCCGCTTGAATACACGTTGCCTGGCATGTAGGAAATTTTTTGCTGAACAATGTTATTTAGGTCCAGCTCCGTCGACATAAGAAATTTATTAATAACCATTTCTAAAAGAAACAGAAACAAAAATTTTCTTTTGTTCAGTTAAAGTAAAAATAAACTAGAAGACATTACCTTTTACAATGAAATATGTTGAGAATCGTTGGATGCTGGGTTTCTCCGCAGTTACACGCCAAGTAATGTCCACAACTAGCTTGTCCGTAAATAGCTTTAAATAATCGTACACCTCACGATAAGCACGTAATTATGCACCCTTTGTTGAGGGGGACATTTAAATGAGTTAAGCAATTAAAAACATTTAGAAAAAAACAAAGCTATATTTTTAAAACGCACAAATTTGATACAAAGCTGCACTGTAAACAGACAAATCGCGCAACGAAATGACGCTCGGACGAAAAATAAAAGCGTGGGTCAAAAGGAAGACCAAACAAATTTTCAGAAAAAAAAGGGGTAACGGATAAACACCGCCACCTCTTTTTATGGCTTGTTTTTTTCCACTAATTTTGTTTTTGTAAAATGTGTACTATCGTCTTTCTATCGTCCGGAAGTGACTTAGAAGTTACTTCTACGCGATACAAGTATATTTTGTTTTTGTAAAATGTGTACTATCGTCTTTCTATCGCGAAGAAGTTACTAAGAAGTGACTTGTGGACGACAGGCGATAGAAAAATCGGACTTTTGCTTGCAGGGAAGCTAACTTATTTTGTTTACTTAATCATTTACTGGGGCACTTAACGTGATAACCATTGATTTAAAGGTAGAACGAAAAATTAACATTAGAATTCAGTTTCTAAGTTAAGTTTTAGTTAAGTCCTTTTTTCGGCATTATGGATAATAATCCATTTCAGTTTTTCGGCTCTTTCACATTCTATAAAGTATATTTGAATTCCAGATTTTAAGTCAAGTTTTAGTTTAATCCTTTTTTCGGCATTATGGATAACAATCCATTTAAGTTTTTTTAAGTTTTACCTAGCTTTTTACTATGACGATTGTTGGCAACCATGTTGAGCAATAATGAATTGTGAAACTTTTCATTGAATGAATAGTTACGTCGAAAGGTTTTCAGAACCGTCGTCTATACCGCAAAGACAGGGTATTGCCCTGTTAGGGAACTGACCGAAGTAAACGCTTCAAAAAGCGATCTAATCATTTATAATTGCTAGCAAGTTTTGTATTTGTTTTGTCTATTTGCGCTTATCATCGAGGGCACAGGTAAGATATGTGTGCATTTGGTAGAGACGCTAAAATTCTATGAGCTAGCAACATTCCGCAGCATCGACTTTCGCATGCCCTTTGAGTGACTAATTGATTTTTTATGCTTACGTGAAAGACTAAATATCCAATTATAACCAATTAAGCGTTTCAGAAAAGCCAAATTGATGAATGTGGGCGGACCTAGCATCATAGCCAGATGATTATCTTTGTCATTGAATAGGTTGAGTAAATGTATATAAACTAACACACATCGCTTACTCTGCAAGGGAGGAAAATTTAATACCCGTGATCTGTGATGCCGCTTTAGCTTTTGGCTGTTTTTATGAAGTTAATTGTTATACCGATTACTGGTGTAGTGAATGTGTAATATGTATTCCTTGGGTTTTCGATCCTATAAAATGTTATGTTCTTGACCGGGATCACTAGCCGGGTCGATCTTGTCATGACTCTCTGTGGGTCTGTCTGTCTATGTCAACGCTATTATCTCGGAAACCTTAAGAGCCAGAGAGTTGGCATTAAGCATAGATTTCTAGAGGTTCATGTGCAGCGCAATTTTATTATACCGATGTGACACCCCCACGTAACGCCCACAAGCGCCCATACTGCCAAAATCCCTCTGACTCCCGCATTTTGTTTCGTCTATCAAATGCTTACACTTGCAATTTATCAAATCAGACCATTTGTTAAAAAGTTATGAGGAATTAAAGTTATTATCGCTAGGTGGCGCCAACAATTTTAAAGATTGATGATTGACATTCAGTATCCTTTTTTGGTCCCACAAATTTTATTTTTTTATATATTTCTGTTGAGCAATAAACAATCAAAAAATAATTGAAATCTGAACATTTGTTAAAGGGTAATGATCCATGTTCGCCTTTAGGTGGAGTTAGTCCAAAAACCGTAAACAGTCACTTTGGCGCACACATTTTTAAGCTGCACACAAAAAAACAATGTAAAATCAACATAATAAAGTTATAATTGATTATTCTTAAAAATTGTCATGCATCTTGTTGTTTTATTTTTTATGTCATTGAACGGACGGAACTCCACAGTACAAAAACCATCTAAATTTGTGGAAGAGATGTTTCTATATTATATATAATGAAAGCGTCACCTTTGGAAGATTACTGGAGCATGCACTCAGAAAAAAATCAAGTATTTCGTGCTTGAACCTAGTACTTTCGGTGTCAAAACTTCGCCAAGCAAAATACTACTTTCGAGCACGAAGTTTCAAGACCGAAAATACTAGATCTAAGAACCTTTCAGTCTTCAATCAAGTATGAATAATTCTGAAATCAAGTCATATTTGGACTAAAAACAAGAACGATTTAATAATAAAGTAAGAAAGGTGCAGGCATGGTTTAAGGACGAATAATTCTTAAATCAATATATAAATATAATGAAATTAAAATGAGTTTTTATTTTATGCTAGTAAGAGAAATAAGTATTGGAAACTGAAACGAAATAAACGAGATATATATAAATAATGTTAATATTTTAAGTTTACTTACGACTTGCCGCTCACGGGCATTAACACTGCCTAATTTATGCGCCTTATATACCGAGTACTTTCAGAATAAATAGTTATGAATTATTAGAGTTGGCAGACATTAAAATTCCAAAAAGTGCTTAATATGAGAAGTTTTTGAGCACGAACGTTCTTAAATGTTAGGCATGCAATTTTGTTTTTAAGTCAAGTACTTGTTTTTAGCACGGTGTTTTTCCCTGAGTGTGGGTCCCAGTTCTCAATTGTTCTAATGTCGGATAACTGTAGTCCAGACTCTTGTGCAATAGAGTGCATACAGCAAACGCTGTTTTTCGAAGATAATTGACCGAGAAAATCTCTGTAGCGATCGGAGGGAGCTGATAGTCAAACGAAATAGAATCTTGAAAAGATGTCCTCTAATTTTTCGTCACTTTCTATTTCAATCATCAACTTATCCGCTCCCTTTGCACAAAAATTAAGGAGTAAATTTGTCGCAACTCACTTCGTAAACTTCCCGATAATTTTAAGACAAGTCTATCCCTCCACCCAATCTCTTTTTTTACCTCTTCCTCCCACGCCCCTCTTTAATAACATCAAAACCGGATTGCATTTGACTCGGAATACTAAAATCGACATCGCTTTCGTCTCGATATCGAAAAGAAAAAGTGAGAAGACAAAGTTCTTAAACTGAGAAGAACAGATTCAGTTTTTTCTTCTTTCTTAATTTTTTTTACTCTACGAGTAAGAAATAAATAATTGGTCATGAGCGGGAATGGAACGTCTAAACCCCATGCCCGTGCACCGAGTACGATGCGCTAACACTTAGATTCGCGCCTACATTTTTTAATCATGCGGCAGAATGCTTTTTTAAGATGAGACAAAAGTTTTTTCTTTTAACATTTTTAAAAAGTGTCAAAGTGATCCCATAATAGGCTTAGTTTGATGACCATCGTATCAGAGATTTATTGACAAACAACAGTACCACATGGACACCTAAATTGGGGCACATTGATGACAATTTTTTTAGGGAGTTTGAATGGAATATTTTCTAACAGTTCTGGTTTTACGAAGCCTTTTAAACATTTGGATAAAAAAATACAAATAATTTTATGACACCCTTGAAGCACGGTTCGCTGCTTAATATGTGGAAAGCTTGCGTATGAATGTAAGTATGTAACGAACAGCTGGATAGCGGATGGGCACCGATTGTGGGAGTTCTGGATGCGTAATAGCGGAATAGCGTTAAAACGGAAAACATACTAGTCGGCATAGGTATTTTGACGAAACAAAAGTTTATACAATAACTTGAACTTACTTAATGTTCATATTGGCATTAAGGGAAAGCTAATTTAAATTCCGTTTGAATGATACGAGACTTTACTTAAACCATTTAGTCGGATGTGAAAAAAGTACAATACTTTTTCTTCGGGAACAAAAAATCGGTTGATGCAATCAAAAAATTGTATGTAAGAAAAAGAGAAAAATATTGGCGTATAAAATAACGCCAAACATTTTCCCAAAATAAAAAAAAAATTCACTAAGAGATTTTTTGATAAATTCTTTTTGCAGTTACTAGTTATTTTGTTTTCAAGCCTAGGGAAAAAGGTCAAACCGAAGACTTTTAGAAAAATTCGACATTTTCAAAAAGTTCTAAATGAGTTAAGAAACTAACTTCTCATGGTAATTAAAGCTGCTCATAAAAAGTTCGATTCATTTTTAAAATTCGAATGGTTTCATAGTTTTCAACTGAAAAATCATTTTTTGCTAAAAAGTATTATTCTTTGTACTGGTACCTTTGAAATTTGACTGCTTTATAAATATTTATTTATTTCTGTAAATAATTTTTAGTTTTCTAAAAATCGTAAAGCTCTTAACATATAACGCTTCCACAGAAACGACCTGCAAGGGTATAGAAACTTCAGCTTGCCGAAGCTAGCTTCCCTTCATGCTTTATTGGACATTTTTTGTAATTATAACATACGTTTTTTATACCCAGCTTTATTTTAAAATCAAAATATTTTCACTAAATTTTGTTTGATAGTTAAACACATTTTTAGTTTTATTTAAAATTTATTGAAAAGCAAAGTCTTAAATTACTTATAATAAATAATTATAATTTAAAATAATCAAGTGAAGCAACATTATGTGTATGTGTGTATGTTTGTATGACTGCTTGCTACAGGGTCATCCTGCGAAAGGGCTTCTTCATAGTCTTAAATATTTCTAAAACACACTTGGTCATGACTCGCATCTTCCATGAGGTCTTGATCAGTTATGGTACAAAATCGATACTAAGAATTAAAAGTAAAGGAGGTATGTTACATAAAACAAAATAAAACCGTTTGGGACCTACATATGTAAGTCAGAAACCATGCCGTCACTTTCAAGAATTTTTAAACAGTTTACAAGTCTATACCAATCTTTCCCGACGATAATAAAGTCTAACCTTCAAAAGAAATGCTGAAAAAAAAAAAATTTCGAATTATAAAGGTAATGCCCATCAGGCAACCATTGATTTTTGCATCGTCTAGTGAAATAACTGGTGAAATCTCATTGTTTACATTAAGTGAAACTGCATTGGAAAAACTGTCTATGTATGTTTTTCAATTTTTTTTGGAAGTCTGCGCTCCGGTGCGATGTAAATAAATGGGTATAACCAAAAATCTGAAGTCTTAAGTTATTTTAGATATTTTTTTCCTGGATAATCTATCATTTCTACAAAATGAACTCTTTAAGTGAAACTCTAAAAATATATTTTGACATAATGATGTTGGCCTTCCTTCGAGATCTGAATCATGTAATCAAGAAAAAGGCTCCTTGAAAATATTGTCTTATTCATTAAATAACTGGTTTGAAGGTTGTTTGTATGTTGGAATACTTCTATTTTTAACAGGGTTTGTTTCAGAGAATTGTGTGGGTTTACATATATCGGTTAACATGTGGCTTAAAGTTATGAAAGTTCATAAACTCTTGGTTAAATTTAGGAAGTTTACATTTATATATGTTATATGTCAAATGATCATTTCTCTTCTTCTCCGGTGTATTGCGTGATAACAATCGGGCTACCATATCATATAGCTGCCATAGAAATGATCGCCAAGTTAATGTAATGTAATGACATGAAAGGAAGCTAATTCAGAATGAAGAAAAAAATGTGATAAAAATCGGCCTACTACATTATAAAGCTTCCATTGGAAGGATCGCCAAATAATGTAAGAACAAGAAAGGAACCTTACTTCGGGAAGCCAAAGTTTATACACCCTTGCAGGTCGCTCCGGTGGGAGCATTGTATCTAAAGAGCTTTCCGATTTTAGGAAAACTTAAAACTAATTACATAAATACAAGTATGAAGATAATGTTTCATTTCAATTGAAATCGAAATATAAAGGTGCTTGTAACATTTTGA